AGGGCTGAATGGCTGCAGGACTGGCCATGTGTGAGAGCCAGGATGCAAAGATGGGGTGGTGGCGGTGGGGGTTGAGTTAACCAAAGGAGCTTGCAAAATAGAAACAGGCTATTAGTGATCCATTAGTCAAAGGTATCCAGTTCCATCCTAGGTAATCCATTAAAGCAACATCTGAGCACATTAGGAAGCACTCGGTTCAGAGGCGGAGGTGGCTGCGAAGCAAGAGGAGGAAGCGAGGGAATCTGGCTTGAATTACAAAGTTAAAAGCCAGGGAAAAAGAAAAGATGCCCTAAATATTTAATGCTGGGTGTTTAAGGAGACAGAGCAGGAAAGTCTGCCATGGGAAAGAAGGGAAACGTGGAGGCAGACGCAGAGGCTGAGGTCCTTATTTCCCCTCACCCTCCGTGTCACAGCAGCGAAGCCCCCACTGCCCTGCCTGGATGTCTGACGCAGATGGGCTGGGTGCTCTTGAGAAGTTCTGCCTCAGCACAGCGGGTCGTACTGAGCGGGGGCCCCTGGGGCTCCGGCGTCCACCAACGTACCAATGACTCGGACTGCAGAATGGAAGCGATGCCTATCCAGTTTGGGAAAGATGCCAACCTATGAGGATTAACTGGCCGATGCCTCAGTGGACAAAAAATACCATCATTCAAAATGACTCCAGAAGGCCTGAACATTGAGCCAAATCCAATCAGATGATGTCCAACGGTGCAAGTTCTGCATCTAGGAAGGAAAAATCAATAGGACTGCAGAGACCTGTCTTGGTGGCAGTCTGAGAAAGTTCTAAGAGTGGCGGTGGACCACCAGCTCCACGTGAGCAAGAGCTAAAAAGGCCAGTGCAATCCTGCGGTGCATTAACAGAAGCATGGCATCCGGATCGCAAGCGGTAATGGTTCCATTGGCTTCCACCTTGATTAGCCCATGCTGGTGTGTGGCACCAGCTTTCCAAAGGACACGAAGAAGCTGGAATGGGTTCAGAAGAGAGCTGCCAGGGTGATAAGGGTCTGGAAAGGAAGTCTTACAAGGAATAGTTAAAGCCTGACTGCACATTCAGCTTACAAAAGAAAAGACTGAGAGGGGATACGATTGAAAAGACAGTCACTTGTGAGAATGGGTGGCCTTTCCTTTGCTGAACTTGAGGGCATGACAAGGGAGCCTGGGTTCCCCTTAAGAACAGGAGATCTGGGCTGAATACCAAGAGGCTGTCAGAGCTGGAAAGCGGCAGAACCGTCTGGCTTGGAGGAGGGCTTTCAAGGGGGCTTGGAGGGCCACCAGTTGGGATGGGGTGATAGACTCTTACACTGAACAGAGGGTTGGACCAGATACTGTAACCTTCAAATCTCTTCCAACCTGCACATTCTAGGACTCTGAAGACCGAGACCTGAGTCCGCTGTTTAGGACACGCAAAGGTGCTGCTGTGCCTGAATCTTACCTCCTGCAGGGTGACCACGGGTTCAGGGGCCCTGCCCATCAAGTGAGGCCCCACTTCTGAATGTGGAAAGACACCCTCTGGTCTCGGCCCCCTGCCCCCTGGCATCCTGCCTGAGTTTGGGGAGAGCCACTGGAGCTAGGAGGCCTTCACCGGGTGTCAGAAATGGCTGCCAGCATTGGCATATGGGAGCCCCTGGGAAAGGGGGAGGCTGAAGGTCTTCTCCCCATCGCCCTCCATCACTGCTTGCTGTGGCATCGGAGGGCCCCAACACCAGTTGTGGTACCTGCCCAGGCCCTTTGCAATTTGCTCACCCTGCCCCCATTGGCATGGGGTGTGAAAGTGGGCTCAGTCCAGTGTTGCTCCCCCCACTCGCTTGCCCCCCAGCCCCCTCCTGTGTGTTCCTGATGTTGGGAAAACCCAGGCGTGAGGACAAAGCATCTCCCAGCGATCAGATTTCAAAGCTGAGCCAAAGGGAAGTCCAGGTTTAAAGCAGGGGAATTGCGTGCGCGCGCACGCGCACGCACACGAGTTCAGGAGGAGGGGGAGAAGCAGCCCTGGCTGAGCTCCACCCACACTTTGTGCATTCACATAAAAAAATTGGTTTTCCTCTTGTGGGGTCATCTTAGTGCTAGGTCAAGAAAGCACAAGTCACTTTAGGATGAAGGGCCCTAGGCCCCCCCCCCCCAAGTTCTTAGCAAAGAGGAATTTTGGCAGGAAATTATTGGCGAGTAACTATGCGTAAGGATAAACATAAATGGCATGGAAATACCCTGAACTGTTTCAGACCGCCTCCGGCCTGGACCCCCGCCAAAGCTGAGGCTTGACCCTGTGTCCTGGGAAAAGCTCTCGGGGGGCCCGCGGGGCTAGTCCCCCCCCCCCCGAAGGCCCCGGAGCCGGGACAACTGACACCGTAGCGCAGCAGCAGCAGCAGCAGCAGTAGCGCAGCTCTCCAACCGCTCTCGGGTGGGTGGCTGGCTGGCTAGCTGGCTGGGGAGAGCGGATGTCAGGGAGGGGAGGATCCCCGCAGCGTCGGGAGCGCTTCCAGAGGGCTCTGCGCTCCCGGGAGAAGGGGCTGGCCGAGGCGGGCGAGATG